CAAATGAGGAAGAAATCCATATGAGGCCACATACCTTGACTCTTTTCAGGACCTGCCCTGACTCTTTTCATCACCTGCCCTGACTCTTTTCAGCATCTGCCTTGACTCTTTTCAGGACCTGCCCTGACTCTTTTCATCACCTGCCCTGACTCTTTTCAGTGCATAGGCTAACTCTCTGCATTTCTGTAGCTTTTCCAAGCACCGTACATCCTTCCATAGCCTGAGAAATGTAGTTTAACTGGGCCAATGTTTTTGTATTGTCTTGTCATTATAAGCCCTGTGATGTATTGATATCCTACCCCTGGGACAGGGTCCAGGCTTACCATGACTTTGCACAGGACAAGCAGTTATGGGAGACACCTAAATGCTATTATGTGTTACGAAATTATTGTCTTATACACCATAATAAGTTCTGTATATGGGGTGAAGTCCTTATGCAATAATTGACTGTAAAATGATAAAGTAATAGCAGTCAGTATTTGGCTGAAAGCAATAACTGCAGATGTTACAGATCACTCTCTGCTGAGCATAGTACTGCATATGATAATACTTCTGCTGTCTGAGCAGTCTTTGGGGCCTGAGCAGTGCGTTTAATCATAAACTGATGTTGAATTGCCTGGGCCTGGCAAGCTGTAATGTCCAACTTCGCCCTCTAGTGGAAGTTAAGCATTACTGTATTGGAAAGTTGGAAAATAGGTCATTCTGAGACTTACTATTAGCATACGACAAACTAACGAGGAGCGATGTATCGTAGCTCTTCTCTGACAGCACAGTGCACAGCCAAAGTACAATTAGGCAGATTTTTTAAGGGATGCTTCCCTTAAAAACTCTCAAAAATAATTTGTGTGCTATTAGTTATAAGCTGTTTGTTCATTATTCACAGTGTACAGGCACACGTGCTTTTTCTTGCGACTGTACATCTGTATCAAATCTGACACTGATGTCTCTCTGCGTTCATGTAACAAGCTAAGCGGCGAGGCAGCTGAATCTTCACCCACTAGGTGGCGTTCTCCCGCGTCTATGATTATTTCTCACATCCATAATACAATACCTACATTACTGTATGATAATTGATTAGTTTTACTTAAGTCCTGGCCCATTTTCAGGTTTAATTTTCCTAATTGTGAATTTGATCCATAAGGTTGATGCATAAGTGCTGCAGGCAAGGAGACACATGAAACGAGGGTACATCAGAATATTCCCTGCAGGGGGCGACATTTACTTAGGGACTAAATGGGCTGTGGTCACCGGTTCTGAAGGAAGCACCTCTTCACCTAAATCGGCAGCCCTGGGGATGGGGAGGGAGGCTCCTCCGGGCTGTCTCTTCTTGGGGGCAGAGAAAACTTATTTTTTCCCCAACCTTCTTCCTAGCATGGGATGTATCCTACTCTGGGCAGACAGTCCCGCCAGGCGCACGCGGCTTGCATTTCTCACTGATGGTTTCTGGGCTGATCGTGAAGAGAGCATTTGTTGCTGTCCATCGGTGTGGTGCAGATCGCCCCCTGCTGGTGCTCGGCAGATTCCCAATGGACCGTCACATCACAGTATATGGCAGCATGATCATTTTCGCCTTAATGAACCACGTGTGAATGCTCATGAATTTTCTAGATTGTTCTGCTTACAATCTGAAGGTCAGCTGGTTCAGGATTTGGAGGCACGTGGGGAGAGTATGTATGTGTGTGTGAGAAAGAGAACTTTGAGATAGTCAGACATCCTACAAAAACCTCACTGGATGGGGGCTGATTTTAACAGACAAAAATGGCTCAGTCTTTGGTCCCAAACATTTGAATATTCATCAGAAGTACATTTTACCCACCATTTTTCACAAAAGGGCTTTTACAGCTGATATTTTTAAGGTTTCAATGACATTTCAGCAAGTCTACTGTCTGTAAATTGTGTATGTCATTATTTGAATCTGTCTAAATTCAAATACTTCAGTAAATGATCCTTTTGGAGGTCCTTTTTTTGATTTTCCCTCTTACAATCGAGATACATCTAATCTGTCTCTCACTCATCTGCGAAATATAGGTCAGAAGGCTGCTGCAGAAAGACTGGTGATGCATTAATTAAATCGTAACTAGATTATTGTAACGCTTTACAATCTAGCTGCAAAATTGCTTCCATAAATACATTTTCTGCAGAATGTAGCTGCAAGGGTTTTTATTAGAACTGAAATGTGTCAACATATAATTCCAGCACTCATGTGCCATCGCTGGCTGCCTGTGAAATTCACAAAGACACACTGATTCCCTCCTCGCAGACTTACACCAATATATCTTGGATCTACTTTTTCCACCCAATTCTCCCTGATTACCTAGTTCACCAAATACAGACTATGTTGGTTTTACAAAAAGTTAAGAGTACTTACGGTAGCAGAGCCTTATTCCAGCAGAGCTGCTTTTTAAATAATCTGCCTCCTTATAATGGACTTGTGAATATTCAGGATTCAACTGCACTCTATATATTTAAATCTAGCTATTATATGGTGATTTAAGGATGTGTTGATCTTGTAATTTCTTCTCTGTGCTAAAGGTGTTGAATGGAAGGGTCTGACCAGAGGACTAGGTTCTTATCAATAAATTGAATTAAGTATATACCAGGTAAAAAAACAGAGAAGGGGGAAGAGTACACTATAAATTTAAGAATTAAATCCTGAGATATTGTAGTAAAACATCACCAACACGTTTAACTCATTTCCCATTGCTTTAAAACAGGCAAAGACTGAGAGGATGCAGTGACTGAGAGGATGCAGTAATACCACCACTGTATGTTTAAAACCTCAACTCTCTTTCTTCAGCAGTACAATCCAAACATCTTCTTTTTTAAGTATACTGATCAAACAGACATGTTCTGCACAGATTTAAGTCATTTTTACAGTAATGAAGCTATTCTCCATATATTCTACATTAGATACGATATGCATCAACACTGCCACTAAGCAACGTATGCAGTAAAACCTGAAGCATCAGATTGTGTTCTGGTAATGAATACATAGAATATAAAAGTGTACTTCACATTATGGTTTATGGTATCAGTATCCATCCACGGTGTGGTTACAGGGAGTCTGCAGCTTATCCCAGAGTGCGATAGGCAGGGGACATTTCGGCTGGTATGCCAGTGCGTCAGCGGGCAAACAGTCACACATCACTATGCCCTGTGGGCAATTTAAAGACATCACTTTCACTAATGGCATGTTTCTGGACCGTGGTGTAAGTTCGAGGAACCTGTACAAGCAGGCAGAGAACATGCAAGCTCAAACATGCTCATTTATCAATATATTATTTACATCATCATATATATTAATGTTTAGATTATTTCTTATCTAATATATTACTAAATATAACATCCTAACTTGGCAGTAGCCCAGGGTAGGTATCTGGCCCCCTGCAACCCTGACCAGGATATGTGGTCAGAAAATGGATGGATGGATGGATGGATGGATGGAAGGAAGGATGGATGGATGGATGGATGGAAGGAAGGATGGATGGATGGATGGATGGAAGGAAGGATGGATGGATGGATGGATGGATGGAAGGAAGGATGGATGGATGGAAGGAAGGATGGATGGATGGACCTGGCAGTAAATAGATCCTTTTCTGAAATAATTATAACGGCATCTCACTTCCCTAACGAAACAATGAAATATAAAATTATCAATGAAATTTACGTCAGTCATAAGTACTTTGCAGTCTACAGTAGACTCACTAGTAAAACTGTAGTTTTAATTGACTTTGTAACACATTCTGGTAAAAATCACAAATTCTTTTTGATACTTAAAAACACTTAGCAGATCATCTGACTTCTTTGCAAGGAGATCAACCACATGACGCTTTTAACCAAGTAGCTGCACTAAAATGCACAATCATTTATTCACAAACAAGCAAAGCCAGTCATTCCTGCAATGTTCTCAGAAATATCACCTGCAGATTAAAGATACAACATATTTTATTTGATACTTCTAAATATTTCAGTACCAGTGTGTAATGAATTTAGCCATAATAGAAAAAACGGTAAACATTACACTGTAGATATTATACAGATTTAAGGTTAGGAATCGCCCAGTTCAAAATACACACCACATTCTGGTCTGAATTGGCCTTAATCAACTGGAAATACCAAGTAATCTAATAATATGTGTGTGTGTGTGTATGTGTGTGTGTGTGTGTGTGTGTTTGTGTATAATACTTAAGATATATTCACATATTATGTTTTTTTTTATCAAAAACTCATTTTACCTTTAAATTCACACCCTTAAATTTCACACTCGTACTTCCTTTAGTTTTCTTTATTCTGCTCTCTGTTCTGTTGCACAATTTTTATGTTTCATTCCATTCCAAAAAAAAAACAAGATCAGTGCAATTCAGTATAGCTATTTAACCTGAGAATTCAGTATAGCTATTTAACCTGAGATAATGCAAAAAACAGTGGTTAAAACAGTGCTTATCCCAGCCGGAGACCTGTCATTAAGGGTACAGCAAAGTACAATAAAATATCCATCCATTTTCTGATACCTTTCTTGGACAAACTCATGGTAAGCAGTAAATTATGCTTATGAAACTGCATTTTTTCTTTTTTATAAGAATCTGAGTAACTAATGCTCATCAAGTGACATCACCTTTTGGATTTCTGACTGCCAAAAAATATGGAGCATTTTAAAGGCAGTTATAGATTAAATCAATCTATATTTTCTTAGTATTGTACTTTGGGTATTCTGCTTTATTACATACAAACGGGAACTGTCTATTTTTGTTAACATGGTAAAATATGTATGTTTGTAGAGAAAAAAAAAACCCAAAACTGGTAAATTCTGGCACGAGTAAGCAAGTTTTTCATTTACATGCACAGAACTGTAAGATGATTACATTGAACAAAAAAGAAAAACTAGCAATTAAGAGACCAAAGAAATTTATTCCCTTTCGCATCCAGTATTGACTAGTCTAGAAGCAACATACAATGTTTTATCAAATGTGCAATTAAATACTGAGCACAGATTTTAAAACTGTTAAAATTTAGACCTTTCAAAACATACCAGGCAGACTGAACAAATTTTAATATGCACCAGCTTTTCACAAAGCCGGGACCTCACTCATAAAAGTCAATTGTGACAGCAAGCTTAAATTTTATCCTAGCTATGAAAGATTAAGAGAGTTTCAGAGGGTTATTATTCAGAACTATTCAGAATAGACAGACAAATATTTTCTTACTTTCGTGTGGGATATGAACTCATAAAAAGTGTGATTGCTGCTCTGGGAGTGGGAATGAATTTGGGTCAACGGTCATTTTCATCCATGTTTCCCTCATCCTAAAGGACGTCCTTGCTTCTTCCTGGGGTGAGTCAGGCCAGGTCAGCTTGGGGGCTAGGAAACCTTCACCTTCTTCACTAGGAAACCTTGACTTTGTTCTTCTCCTGAGGGTTGATCTGCTCCTCCTGGCTCTCCTCCACCTCCAGCCGCTCCTCGCCCTGCCGGGCGACGAGGAGCCGGCAGGTCAGCAGGATGCCGAAGACCAGGGCATGAGCATAGCGCTTCAGGGGGTCGCCCACCAGCTGGTGGAAGAAGAGCACGGCCAGCATGACCAGAAGCAGCAGGAAGTTGGCCACGTCCTTGGGTCGGCCAGGCACCAGGGTCAGTACCACCCCGCAGGCCAGCTCCAGCGTGCCGATGACCTTCCGCAGCAGGACCGAGCTGATGCCCATCTTCTTAAGAGCGGGCAGGGCCTTAGCATAGCTTTTATATGCCCGTTTCTGAAGAACAAATTCAAACAAGGGTACACATTGTTAATAGATTGTAGGTTCATGCTACGAGCACTACTGCTTACCGAATCACCACTATCAAGGAAGCATGAGACCATTCTTACTGAATGATAAATATCATCGGGAATAAACTGTCGAGATGCAAGCAACCATACCGACAACAGCAGGCATCTGAAATCTAGCCAGATGGCTGACATGTAATGTAACCAAATTAGCAGATTCCATGGGGTAAGCAAAACGGAAAAACGTTAAATATTAGACAAATTATACAGATAACCACATAAATGCAGCACATTAAATCTTGTACGCTGCACACAACTTAGAACTGAATTATATGTGACAACTAACTGGTATTCAAAGTATAAAATCTGGGGAATTACCTCTAAAAAGAGAGAAAAACCTACATAATCTCTGAAGTCGCTTAAACAGGGTTCCCAGTTAGGTTATAGTACAATTAGGGAGTAAGTAAATATACTAAACCAAAGCAAGCAAAACGGGGCCAGGCAAACTCCAAATAAACTACATTAGAGCAAGCAAAACAGGGCCAGGCAAACTCCAAATAAACTACACCAGAGCCTGCAAAACAGGGCCAGGCAAACTCCAAATATACTACACCAGAGCAAACAAAACAGGGTCAGGCAAACTCCAAATATACTACACCAGAGCAAGCAAAACAGGGCCAGGCAAACTCCAAATAAACTACACCAGAGCCTGCAAAACAGGGCCAGGCAAACTGCAAATATACTACACCAGATCAAGCAAAACAGGGCCAGGCAAACTCCAAATATACTACACCAGAGCAAGCAAAACAGGGCCAGGCAAACTCCAAATAAACTACACCAGAGCCTGCAAAACAGGGCCAGGCAAATTGCAAATAAACTACACTAGAGCAAGCAAAACAGGGCCAGGCAAACTACAAATATACTACACCAGAGCAAGCAAAACAGGGCCAGGCAAACTCCAAATAAACTACACCAGACCCTGCAAAACAGGGCCAGG